ACTTGGTATGGTTCTTGGTTTCTGCCTCCAGGTTCGATTCTTCGGACCTTGCAAGCTGACGGCTGTCTTTCAGTTGCCAGATGAAGTGGTCAGGTTTAACTTTACGACGTAGGTGGGCTTGAGCAGGCATCACACCGTCTTCGGGGCGTAAGAGGCTGCATATGGGCAAGCGCAAACCTTCCAAGTGCTGCTTCGCATCTTGCCTTGTCCATGCAGCGGGAGATATGTAGATGTAGACCGTATTCCGTACCATGCCGTGTTCAGCACATCCTTCGGACAATGTAGTGTGACCACGGCAGCCCCAGATTTGCAAGAAGAACGCCAGTGCGCTAGTCGGGGGGATCCCCCCCAACCGCACTTGATTACCGGCAGCCACTGAAAGGCACGGCATTGACAGAAGCTGATGCTTCCACAGCAAAAGGCGGAAAGTAGGGGGTGAGAAAACTGATGAACGCAGTAATAAGGACCACCGTAACATCCCGAAAGAGTAGCAGTTCACGGTATGTCGTGATAGCGCAGCGGAGCTCTTGAGACGCACTGCAGCGACCAAATGTTGTATAGATTGCTCAAGTATGTGATGACCTTGTCGCCCTGGCACCGACAGCTGAGGCAGCCATATGTGCCATCAGCGCAAGTCTGGAGTCCTCCGCGGCTTTGTCGGAACTTGTTTGGGTTGCTTGACTCTTGAACCTGGGTGTCACGGGAGCAGAGGAAGGGTGTGAATGGCATTTAGCGCATGTGCCATGCAGAATGCATGGGGCATGGCTTCTGTCATCACCCTGCCCTTCTGATCGACATTTTCCCCCTTTAAACTCAGCGTGTGTGGGTCTTGGTCTTTCTAGAACAGCCACGCGGGCATGTTGGTGTGGATGTTTTGATAACCGAAAAGACGATGATGTAGCAACTCGCAACCGCGATTGCGATGATGGCTGGTGACGACGACAATGATGATGGTGTTGGTCATGAAGACGAAGGTGCCAGCAGTGATGTCGATGCTGATGGCCATCACCACTGTAATTGCTGTGGCTAGCACCCCGTTGATGCTGGACATGGCGATGACGATGCTGAATGAAGATGAGGGTTATGATGAAAATTGTGAAGAGAAGCACAAACATGTGGTGATGATGATGAGACCGTGGAGGATGACGAAGATGACTGTACCCTTGCGGATCTTGGGGCATTCGTTATTGCTGGCCGTGTTCCGGACACGTGTATGTATATAATAATACATATATATATATATATGATGTTTGTATGTATATAACATATTTTTATTTAGACACATACACACACACACACATATATATATATATATATATATAAAGATATGAGTTGAATTCGATTCTTCGACCTGATGCCCCGTGGAGCCCGAGGAATGCAGCATTGGACCTTCGGCAGCTGCTTCCCAGGTGCTCGTTTGAGAGTTAGGATTTGGAGAAGGCCCTAAGCTCCCTCAAGCCCGTGGAGAAATTAGGAAAATCAGAGCTTCGGAAGCTGTGGAACTGATGAAAAAGACCTTAGTACGACTTTGGAGTAAAGTGAAACCTCGGCTGTGTCAAGAGGAGCGGCGCTGGGGGCGTGCGCGGGCTGCACCCGCAGGCAGATATCCGGGAATTCCTATAAGGGGGGAAGCAGGGGGGTGGGGGGATGGGGGGAGTGGTGCTTCTGGTTGGCTTCAAGGGGTGAGAGTTTCAGCGTCAAGCTCGTTGCGAGATGATATGAAAACAGTAGGACCTGCCGGGTTTTAATTGGGGACCTCTGGGGCTGGCATTGGACTATTTCTAGGATACAGGGGCCTTAATAATTGCCTATACTATTTTTTGGGGGTTCCTTTTTATCACTATAGTACAACATACCCGAAATGATTAAGGTCACCACATTACAGGATCTCGTGCAGGGTCATTAACTGACGGCTTACGGGACGTACAGATCTCTCCCGGAGAGGGTTTCGACTTCAGTGGCTGCAGGGCGAGGAAGGGGATGACCACAGAGTTTTCAGGGTTTTTGGGGCGACGCTCAGCTGTCATGATCGGTAGAGGAGATGCTTTGCCCGGTCTTCTTGTCATATCGCCAAATCCACAAGAAGTATATTTAGAGACTTCCATGCCGTCTCTGGTGTTTGAGTAGAGGGCCTGGGTTTCGCTTTACATGCTTGTGTAGGACTGCGAGCTCCAGAGTCTTTGCCGTAGTTTGATCTTTTGAGATTACGTACAATCTCGCGACGTGCGCAGCTTGTAAGTTAGCATCGAGTGAGAGGCTTGGATGGTGAGAAAGGGTCCGCAGAGGTTCGCAGGACCTTGTGCGGTTGTTGTTTCGGTTCTGGTGGGTGCTTGGCAAGCTCGTTACAAGGCCCGCAGCTGCCGAGAGCCGACACGACACAAACATAAAGGGACCGAGTGAATGTCTTCCGCTTAGATGTGTTTGATGGCCCGCTAGATCAGGAAGACACGCGCCTTGACCGTTACTCCCGCAGAGAAGCCAATCCCCGTAGGCCTTCAATCGACATTGCCATCTTTGCCTACACTGCGCCGAACCATTTTACCATGACCCCAATATCGACAACAAAAGTTATTGACAATGTCGTTGCATGCACCGCCCCTTCGTGCCGCAGTGTTCCTAAATCAGGGCAGCAACACAACAGTGGCAGCGTTAAAACTTATCCATAACCGTGGCAATGTTGACCAATGATTATGGCAAAAGCTATGGAGTATAATAGCTATTGTGTCCCGACTTCCCTCACAAGGCGGCCGAACCCGGGTCCTGGGCAGCCCCTCATTTTGTGGGACACCAAGCATAGAAAAAGGGAAAGCCTTGGGCTCTGGGGCTTTGGTCGGGCTCAGGTTCTTAGCGTTTCGGGCTCGAGATGTAACGGAGGGATTCTTTACTTGGGTAGTGGTAGTGGTGGTGGTAGTAGTAGTAGTAGTAGTAGTTGTTGTTGTTGTTGTTGTTGTTGTTGTCGTGGCATGTTGTGGCAGTCGTGGTAGTAGTGGTACCGGGACTGATAGTTGAAGTGGCACTGGTAGTTGTAGTGGTTCTGGTTCTGCTTCTGGTGGTGGTGCTGGTATTGTTGTTGTTGCTGTTGCTGTAGTAGTAGCCGCTACGGATCAGACGGCCGCGCAGCTAACGAGGGCTTTCGAACAGGCTCTGGGTTCCAACTTCTTTTCTGGAGGCTCCAACCGGGCCCTCTCCTAACCTTAAGGGTAGGTCCCAACTTTCGTGCCCTGCTGGCGCGCTGAAGGCCTGATCTGCCAGGTCCCAATTCCTGGGCCCAGTTACGGTTACGGCATTGTTTTCTGGGCAAGCGGTAGGGTTTCCACCTTCCGCGCGGTGGAGAGAGTCGCTTCAGCTTTTTGTTGTGGCGAAAATAGCGGATGGCGCTGAAGCTTACAGTGCACTCACACAATTTTTTTCTTATATGAGAAAGAGGAGACAGGACACATGTTTGTCGACTGGTTCGGCTCCGGCCGCTTCCCGATTCCGGTCGCACGAAGGAGTCTCGCGACAGGCACTGCGCAGCTTCTCCTGGAATACTCCTGGAATGGTGGACATTTGGGCCAACTACAGTAGGCACGGCTTGTGCCAAGGACTCAAACGGATGCCCCAGACATCTGTGACGTTGTTGTGCTGAAGGAAATTCACCGGAAGGCCACCGCTGCATTCGGATGGCATCGCGCTTTTTGCCTGAGCCTGAGCCTGAGCCTGGAGCAAGGTGCCTTAAGCCGACCTGCACGGCAAGAACAGTTGACGCAGTAGAGGAAAACTGGCCCAGCACTCTGGTGCGGCTCCACGTCACATTTGGGTACAGTCGCCAAGCGGATGCATGGTTTGCGGGCTACGGCTACGGCCCTCCCAGTTGTGGTTCCTTACTGTCCTGTTACCGACGGGGTCAGGCAGTGCTAGGACGTGACCTGAGCAGACCTTTCTCCACGTTTGGCCGCAAGGCCGAAGACAGCAGTGAGTTGTCCTAGTGGACCAACTTTTCAGTCCATAGGCAGCTCTTTTCCATGTACAGGGGTTGAATGGCCCTGGAGATCAGGATTCGTTCTCTAGTTCTTCCTTTTTGCGGTATTCTGTGTTTGGTTTCACGTCCCGGTTGGTGGCTAGCGCGAGGCCTCAGAGCAAAAAGTCCCACTGGCCTCGCTCCAAAAACGGATCAGGGACGTACCTGCGATATTCGCATGGGCAGTCGTGCCACCTGCCACAGCCTGTTTCTGTGTTTGTGTCAGATGTCTAAGGCTGCTTAGCTCGGTTGAAAAGCCGGCAGCCGGGGACCTAAGCGCGTGCTGTAGAGCATTTTTTCACTCTTTCTGGAACGCCAGTG